CATCGCCGTGGCCGTGGCCCGCCAGAAGGACAGCGGGGGCGGCGGCCGCCTGGGGCCCGGGCTGGGGGACCAGGAGCGGCCCTTGTCACTGAGCAGCGGCAAAGGTGAGTGACCCACCCGGGCGCCCTCCCTCCCGTTGCCCTGCCTGTCCATCCACCAGGGGTCCCGAACTCGGGGCCTCTAGTGTTTGCTTGGCTTTTTATTGTTGTTGTTGCTCTATTGCTTGAGTCCTGCCTGCACTTCCAGGTTTTTGCTGGTCAAAGATAAGAGTCTTGTAGATTTATCTGCCCGAGGTTGGCTTTCAACCAGGATCCTCAGCTTCCTGAAGAGCTAGGATTACCATACCTTGTTAAGGTTTTTTTTTTTTGTTTTTTGGTTAGTCCTGGGACTTGAACTCAGGGCCTGGGCACTGTCCCTGAGCTTCTTTTGCTCAAGGCTAGCACTCTACTACTTGAGCCCCAGCACCATTTCTGGCATTTTCTGAGGAATTGAACCCAGGACTTCATGCATGCTAGGCAAGCACTCTACCACTTTCCCAACCCCTTGTGTGTGTGTGTTTTCTCTGATGGGCCCAGATCTTGAACTCACATCTGGGTGCTTGCTGTCCCTGAGGGTTTGTGTTTTTTTTCTTTTTTTTTGCCAGTCATGAGGCCAGAACTCTGGGCCTGGGCGCTGTCCCTCAGCTCTTCAACTCCAGGCTAGTGCTCTACCACTTGAGCCACAGTGTCACTTCTGGCTTTTTCTGCTTATGTGGTACTGAGGAATCGAACCCAGGGCCTCATGCATGCAAGGCAAGCGCTCTACCACTGAGCCACCTTCCCAGCCTCCCTGAGGGTTTTTTTTCCCCTCAGGCTAGTGCTCCCACTTGAGTCCCAGCTCTACTTGTGGCTTTTTTTGTCCATTGTAGGGTTAGAACTCCAGGCTTGGGCACTTTCTCTGTGTTCTTCAGCTCAAGGCGAGCACTCTATCACTTGAGCCAACAGCACCACTTCCGGTTTTCTAGTGGTTTATTGGAGATAAGAGTCTCATGGAGTTTCCTGCCCAGGCTGGCTTTGAACTGTGATCCTCAGATCTCAGCCCCTGAGTAGCTAGGATTACAGGCATGAACCACCAGTGCTCAGCTTACTTGTGGCTTTTTTGATAGTTACTTGGAGATTAGAATCTCACAGACCTTCCTGCCTGGGCTGGCTTTAAATTGAGACCTTCATATCTGAGCTTCCTCAGTAGCTAGGATTAAAGGCGTGAGCCATGGGTACCTGGATGGTTTTGTTCTTTTTGCCCAGTCTGCACTGGACCCCTAGTCTTATACTTTATGTAGCTGGGGATAATAGGCATGAGCCACCAAACCCAGCTTGATATGGTAGTGGGGGGAGTAGGGAGAGGATGGCTGACTTTGAACTTGTCTTCCTATGTCTGTCTTCTGAGTAGCTGGGATTACAGGTGTGTTGTACCACTGCAGCTAGCTGGCTGGTATTTCTTATAACCTAACTCTCCTGGCTCCCTGGCTTCTTTTTCTTTGTCTTCTCATACTATACCCCTTTTCCCACTGGTCCGCTATGGTTGCTGTTGGAAGTTTTATTACCTTTCCAGTTATGCAAAATGCAAAAAAAAACAAACCCCATAAACACATTTTTTGAAAAAAAGATAAAGAAGGCAGAGAAAGGAGTGTTTTGTCTTGCTGGCATACTGTAGACTTTCATGTCTCTGGGAATTCGTTCTGCTTTGCCATTTTCTTCTACCCATGGAGCCCAGCGCACCCAGGACTCGGTTGAATTCCCCCCCTCCCCCATATTACAATGTGGGGTCGTTTCTCCAGCGACGCCAGTCTTTGGAATTGTCTCTTTTTTCTGTTTTGTTATGGCCTTTCATATTCTGTGCTGTGCATGCAGCAGCAGGCGTAGAGTTTAGGCCTTCATTCCCTGGTGGGTCCTTCTTGGTGCTGTGTCCCCTCCCCCCATGTTTTGTGTTCTGAACACTGCACGGAATATTTTTGTGCATTGCGCCTCTGTGAGATTTTTGAGTCATTTTTCTAAGAATAGAGGTTCCTACCAATAAACTTAACCTGAAGCCTTCAATCCTGAAGCATGCTTGAGGGAGGTGTTGCCCGGCCTTTTCTACTTTATACATCCAGATGCAGTTGGGGTGGGCCCGGCTAGAACAGGTGCTGGAGAAATGAATGAATATTTGTGAGTGGGGTAGGAAGTAAGGGACCCGTGGTTTGTTGTTGTTTTTGGCTGTGGGGCTTAAATTCTGGGCTTGGGCCCTGTCCCTGAGTTCTTCCACTCAAGGCGAGTGCTCTACCACTTGAGCCACAGCACCACTTAGGTTTTCTAGTGGCTTATTGGAGATAAGAGTTTCACAGAATTTCCTGCCCGGGCTGGCTTTGAACCATTATCCTCAGATCTTAGCCACCTGAGTAGCTAGGATTACAGGCACGAGCCACCAGCGCCTGGCTTGGTGCCCTTGTTTTTATGGACTTGGCATGCAGGACCTAAATGACTTCCTAAATGACTTGTTTAGGCAGTTAGATCTTTTTACATTTTTCTTTTGTTGTTTTGAGACAGGATCTCCCTGCTAGCTCTGGCTGGCCTCAAGTACAATCCTCCTGGGGCTGGGAAGGTGGCTCAGTGGTAGAGCGCTTGCCTTACATGCCTGAGGCCCTGGGTTCGATTCCTCAGCACCACATAAGCAAAAAGAAAAAAAGCCGGAAGTGGCGCTGTGGCTCAAGCGGTAGAGCGCTAGCCTTGAGCTGAAGAGCTGAGGGACAGCACCCAGGCCCAGAGTTCGGGCCCCACGACAGGACCCCAAAAAAAAAATAGTACAATCCTCTTTTCTGGGCAGGGGTGGAGGAGGGAAGGTTGGGGGATTTGTGGGGTTTTTTGGAGCCATACTAGAATTTGAATTCAGGTCCTTGTGCTTGCTGAGCTGGTACTCTACCACTTGAGCCATACACCCAACCCTGCTTTTTGCTGGTTTATTTGGAGTTGGGAGTCTACTGAGCTTTTCTGCCCAATCCTCTTGAGTAGTTTAGGATTACAGGCACCTCTTCCTCTTGATTGATGGGATTACAGGTATGCACACTATACTGGGCAATCGTTAGATTCAGATTTTTTTTCCCCTTGTGGTCCGGGGGTATGAACTCAGGACCTGGCACTTGGTAGGTGGTGCTCTACCACTTATGCCACACCTCCAGTCTTCTTTGCTTTCATTTGGTTGCTGAGCCAGGATCTTGCTATGTAGCCAGGCTGGCTTTGAACTTATGATCCTTCTGTCTCAGTTCCAATGCTGGAATTATACCGGACTGTGGTGGTAACTGTGTATCTTGCTCTTCCCCTAGATCTCCTCTTCTTTTCTCTGTTCCTGTCTCTTTTTCTATCTCTCAAGTCAGGATCTGGTTATGCTGTTTAGGTTGGTGTAGAACGCTCTACCTAGGACGAGCCCTTAGGTGGACAGCAGGGTTCCATGCAGAGCAGGGTGTAGGGCTCCTTTCTGTGGGGTGACCGTGTAAGCAGGGCTCAGGCCCTGGGGGGCTAGGGAGGGGTTGGGGTTGAGGCAGAGCCCAACCTAGTGTGGGGCGGGGTGCAGTGGGCATGGCCCTGTTTTTTTCTTTTTCCTTTTGTCGATCATGGGGCTTGAACTCTGGGCCTGGGCGCTGTCCCTGCACTCTTTAGCTCCTAGGTGAGTGCTCTACCACTTGAGCCCCAGTGCTTCTTGCGGTTTTCTGGTGGTTAATTGGAGATAAGAGTCTCACAGGACTTTCCTGTCCAGACTTTGAACAGTGAACCTCAGGTCTCAGCCTCCTGCATAGCTAGGATTACAGGCGTGAGCCACCAGCGCCCGGAGGCATGGCTCTTTTCTTTGGCCTGATCCAGTTTGTGGCTGCGTTCCGGCTCTGGGGACTGCAAGGCACCGAGTGCAGTCACAGCCTCCTGCAGCCCTGCAATGGGCGGATCCTGGCCCTCAGGAGCACCGTGATCTTGGCCTTATCATCAGCCCAAGGGTGGCTGTCCCAGTCCTGGTTGGTCCGTGGGCGCCGGTGCGTCTATTTTGAAGAAGGAAGTACTGGTCCTGGGGGTTGAACTCAGGGTCTGGGCGCTGTCCCTGAGTTTCTTTGGCATTCTACCACTTAAGCCACAGCTCCATTTCTGACTTTTTGCTGATTGCAGATGAGAGTCTCATGGATTTTCCTATCCCAGGCTGGCTTCTAACTCAGATCCTCACATTTCAGCTAGGATTACAGGTGTGAGCCACTGCATCAGCCACAGTCTTGATTTCTAAGCATAGTTGCAGAACTCTGGGGGTGACCCTCTGTGTCTTGGTCCTGAATGGAGCTTGGTGCTTCCTTTCTGAGCCTCAGTTCTCTAAGTTGCCATGCTCAGGCCTCCCTTGCTTGTCCTGCTTGAGGGGAACCCAATTGGGCTCAGCAAACACGGGCTCCTAGTCCTGTCCCTACCCAGCTGGATGCCCCATTGTCACTTCAAAAGCACTTGGCCGGTTAGGTATGGTAGCTCAACCCTGGAATCCCAGCTACTTGGGAGGTGGAGATTGGTGGATCGTGGTTCAAAGCTAGCCCAGGCATAAAGGTTCTCCAGACTGCATCTCACTCCATGGCTGGATGAGGTAGCACACGCCATCATCCCAGCTGCGAAGGACAACTTAGGAAGATCATAGTCTAGACCTATCAAGACAAAGTAACACCTTAACTTGGAAATAACCAATGCAAAAGGAGCTGGAGAAGTGGTTCATGTGGTTGAGCACCTGCCTAGCAAGTATGAAGTCCTGAGTTCAACCCTTATCACAACCAAGGGAAAAAGAAAAACTACTGCATGACTAGTGCTGGGGATATGGCTGCTGTGGTTGCCCAGCATTTGGGAGACCCAAAGTCAAATCCCAATTAATGCAATCCTGTCAATAAAATAAGAAAGAAGTGTGTGGGTGGCAATTAGGCCTTTCTGGACCCTAATCCTCCTATTGGTGCTTTCTGCATAGCTGGGATGATAGGCATGCACATCCTCATGATCAGCCATTGATGGAGATGAGGTCTTCTGGCTAGCCTTGAACCGTGATCCTCCACTTAGCCTCTTGAGTAGCTGGGATCACAGGTTTGAGCTACCATGCCCAGCTGTCCTGGGGGGATGTAGCTCAGTGTTCCTAGCACAGAGGATCCCCCCCCCACACACACACATGGTACATCCCAGGGTGCTGTGTTGTGTGGGAAGCAGCCATGGAGGGCCTTGTGGGTCCCTGGGGGGGCAGAGGTGATGGTGGGGTGAGGTGGGGGTGCCTTGGGGCTTACTACGGTCTGGGCCTAGCAGGGCACAGCCGGGCGGAGGAAGGCTGCGTGGACGAACGTTCCAGACACCGGGAGGAGCGGCTGCTCGGGGGCCGGCTGGATCGGGAGCAGGAGAAGCTGCTCCGGTAAGTGAGGGGAGTTTTTTTTTGGGGGGGGAACCTCGGGGTTCCCCCCGCCGGCCGCGGGCATCACCCCACTTCTCGCCATGTCTACGCTGACCCTGTGTGTCTTGGTTTGACAGGGAGAGCAAGGAGCTGGCTGACCTTGCCCGCCTGCACCCCACCAGCTGCGCCCCCAACGGCTTGAACCCCAACCTCATGGTGACTGGCGGCCCTACACTGGCGGGCTCGGGGCGCTGGTCGGCGGACCCCGCGGCTCACCTGGCTTCACACCCCTGGCTGCCCAGGTCCGGAGGTTCGTCCATGTGGCTGGCAGGGCATCCGTACGGTGAGCGCGGCCCGGGGGCTGGCGGGGGGCCCTGGCATGGGGCATCGTGTGGGGGCCTGGTAGCACTGACTGAACTGCGGTTCTCCTCTTAGGCCTGGGCCCCCCACCTCTGCACCAGGGTGTGTCCCCTGCCTTCCCGCCCAGCTTGGGAGGCTCCCTGCCCTCTACCTACCAGTTTGTCCGGGACCCCCAGTCCGGCCAGCTGGTGGTCATCCCCAGCGACCACCTGCCTCATTTTGGTGAGTTCCTCCCGCGGGATGGGGGGGTGCAGGGCCCTGGGGGGGGCGGAGATGGGACTGGGGAGGGAGGCAGCCCAGCTCAGCCCACTGACGCCCGTGTGTCCGCAGCGGAGCTGATGGAGCGGGCCGCGGTGCCCCCGCTGTGGCCGGCGCTGTACCCGCCGGGCCGTGCCCCCCTGCACCACGCGCAGCAGCTGCAGCTCTTCTCACAGCAGCACTTCCTGCGGCAGCAAGAGTTCCTGTACCTGCAGCAGCAGGCCGCCCAGGCCCTGGAGCTGCAGCGCAGCGCCCAGCTGGTGGTGAGCCCCCAAACCGAGAAGAAGGGAGGACTGGGAGGGAGAAAGGACCGCCGGAGTCCAGGAAGGCTTCCCGGAAGAGGTGGCATTTAAGCAGAGCCTGAACAGCAATGTGCAAAAGGCCCAGGAGTACATGGAATGTGGCAGGAGCAGAGGCAGACTGGGTCCGGTCGTGGGGCCTGAACTCTGGGCCTGGGCGCTGTCCCTCAGCTCTTCAGCTCAAGGCTAGCGCTCTACCACTTGAGCCACAGCGCCACTTCTGGCTTTTTTCTTTTTGCTTATGTGGTACTAAGGAATCGTACCCAGGGCCTCAGGCATGCAAGGCAAGCGCTCTACCACTGAGCCACCTTCCCAGCCCCATGGGTCAATATTTTGGAAGTTATTATTGATAATACTGGGATTTGAACTCAGGGCCTCACCCCTGTTCTGCAGGCTGTCTACCACCTGTCACACCTCCAGACCTTTTGCTTTGTTTATTTGGGGGATAGCATCTATGTTTATGCCCGGGCCAGCCTGGAATGCAGTCTTTCTGCTACACCTCTTTAGTTGGGATGACAAGGTGTGTGCTTATTAATTGATAGCTTTTGTTATTTTGTGCCAGTCCAGGGGCTTGAACTCAGGGCCTGGGCACTGTCCCTGAACTGTGTTGTTTAAGGCTAATGCTCTACCACTTGAGCCACAGCTCCACTTCTAAGTTTTTTGTTAGTTTAGTGGAGATAAGAGTCTCATGGACTTTCTTGCCTGGGTTGGCTTCAAATCATGATCCTCAGATCTCAGCCTCCTGAGTAGGATTACAACCACTGGTGCCCAGCTAATTGCTAACTTGTTCCCCCTGGCTGGCCTCAAACCACAGTCCTCCTGATCTCTGCCTCCTGTGCAGCTGGGATTATAGGTGTGAGCCACTGTGCCCAGCATGGAGCTGTCAATTCTTTGTTGTTGTTGCTGTTACTGTTGCCATGTCTGGCCCTTGTAACCATTGGGTCTAATGGAGTCTTTCCTTCTCCCTCTGTTCTGATTGGTCATCAAACACGGGGACGACAACTCCATGGTCCCCTGTCTGAGATGCTTTGGTGATCGTGCAGTGAAATGCTGAGCTGCTAGTGAGCACCCCTTATGAGCATGGCCATGACACAGACACTTCATCCATGCTGGCTCCTGGCTCTGCCTGGCACTCCTGGCAGGATTATTGGGGTCCATTCATGTGCCCCAATCTCTTGTGGAGGAACTAAAGGCCTGAGCCCGCATCGGCCTCTCCTCCTCCCCCCAGCCCAGTTGTCCCCTCCCCTCAGCCCTGTCATGTCGCGCCTTCCCCCATCCCCCGTTCTGTGGAACCCTGTTTTGTTACACGCAAGTGGCTCAGAATGTGTTGGAATGTGGGTGTCAGGCCAAGGAGGGCCGAGTGGCCCTGACCGTTGCCGGGGGTCCCCATCGCACTGACCTGACTCCCCCCCTCCCCCCTCCCCCCAGCAGGAGCGGCTGAAGACCCAGGAGCAGCGGGCTGACATGGAGGAGAAGGTGGCCAAGCGGAGCCTAGAGGCCACAGCCAAGGCTGGCCTGTCCGCCTCGGGGCCCGGGCTGCTGCCCCGCAAGCCACCGGGCTTGGGCGCTGGGCCCGCGGGGACCTACGGCAAGGCCGTGAGCCCCCCACCCTCACCCCGCGCCTCGTCCGTGGCCGCGCTGAAGGCCAAGGTCACCCAGAAGCTGGAAGGCGTGGCCTCGAAGCCCCCGCCCTACGCCTACCCCGCCACGCCCAGCACCCACCCCAGCAGCCCCCCGCCCGCCTCCCCGCCGCCCAACCCTGGCCTGCCCCGGAAGGAGGAGGCCCCAGAGAACGTCGTGGAGAAGAAAGATCTGGAACTGGAGAAGGAAGCGCCCAGCCCCTTCCAGAGCTTATTCTCAGGTGAGAGTTTGGATGTGGGGCACTGAACCTCCCCCAGTTTGGCACCTTCTTTTTAATTATCGTTTTTATTTTATTTTATTTTTGCCAGTCCTGGGGCTTGAATTCAGGGCCTGGGCACTGTCCCTGAGCTGCTTTTGCTCAAGGCTAGCACTCAGTGCCACTTCCGGCTTTTTCTGTGTGTGTAGTACTGAGGAATCAAATTCGGATTTTCATGCATGCTAGGCAAGCACTCTACCACAAAGCCACATTCCCAGCCCTACTTAATTTTTTAAACAGTACTGGGGTTTGAACTCAGGGCTTCACCCTTGGCTAGGCAGATGCTCTACCGCTTGTCCCACACCGCCAGCCCTTTTTGCTTTTAGATATCTTTCAGATAGGGTCTTAAATCTTTTGCTTCAGTCCAGTCTTGGACTGTGATTTCTTCCACCTCTCTTCCCTCCGAGGTAGCCAGGATGGTAGGCATTACTACCTTGCCCAACCTGTTGTTTGGGATTGAGGGGGGAGAGTGTGTTCAATATATCCTCCTGAGCTGGCCTTGAACTAGGATCCTCTTGGTCAATCTCTGCCTCCACATAGCTGTGGGATTATAGTCTCTGTCTGCCTTCATTCGTGTCTTCTGTCTCTGTGGAGCATGTACTGTTCACAGAGTCGACTCTGGAGCGACCATGTGTGTGAAGTCTCTCCTCGGCACTCGGGTGTGAATGCGGGCTGGTAGCGTGGTGCTTCTCGCATCTGCCTGGCCCCTGATTCCATCTTGCCCTCAGTCAGTTTCCTCAGGTCAGCACCTCTGCCGTGCCTAGGTCAGAGCCAGGCTCTTGGCAGCTTCAGACAGTCTTTGCACATGGTCCTCTTCCTGGGGAAACTTCAGACCGCAGAGAGATTGTGGAGTAGGGCAGGGGGACCATGATTAGCATGCTCTCTGGGGCAGGTGTGTGGCCATTTGAGCTTTTTGCTTTAGTTATTCTTCAAGTAGGGCCTCTTTTTCTTGTGCTGGGGTTGACCTCGGTCTGTGATCCTCCTATCTCAGCCTCCCGAGTAGCAGGGATTATAGGTGTGTACCTCTGCACTCAGTTCACAGTTACGAGGCTTTGCTTTGGGGGGGGAGGGGGAGGCAGGTTCTCCTAGGATGGAGCCCAGGCAAAAGACTGGGATCTCATTGAATGCATGCTCCCGGTGTAGCCTGGTACTGTGTGCTTTTGAGGGTGGGGGGAGAATGTTGGGGTGGTGCCACCCCTGCAATTCCCTGGGGCCCCAGACTGGCGGCCCTGAGCAGCTCAGGCATGGGAGGGGGGTGGGGGGCAGTGTCCTGGGAGTGGTGGGTGGCTGCTGCCCGGGACAGAGGGGCTGGCTGAGCTCTATTTGGGGGACTCACGCCTGACTTCCTGTGTCCTTGGCAGAAATCCCCCCCAGGTACCCGTTCCAGGCCCTGCCTCCGCACTACGGGCGCCCGTACCCCTTCCTACTGCAGCCCACCACGGCTGCCGATGCCGATGGCCTGGCCCCTGATGTGCCGCTGCCTGCCGACAGCCCCGAGCACCTGGCGCTGTCCCCGGAGGACAAACCCATCCGCCTGTCCCCCAAGATCCCCGAGCCGCTGGCCGAGGGCCACGAGGAACCGCAGCTGGCCCCGCGGGAGGTGAAGGCCGAGGTGGAGGATGAGGATCAGGGGCCCCCGGAGCTGCCTCCCATGGAGTCGCCGCTGGCCCTGCCCGTCCCCGACAGCATGGCGGCCTCCAGCCCTGCGGGCGGCTGTGGAGGCAGCTTGTTGGAGGCCCAGGTGTTGAGGCCCACCGCGGAGCGGGCGGAGGACTCGGAGCTCACGGAAGGGGTAGAAGCACAGGTGGAGATGCAGGGCCGGACAGAAGACCTGGAGCTGGGGACCCTGAGCCCCGAGCCCCTGGTGGAGACAAAGGAGGAGCCGGTGGAGGTGCCCCTGGGCGTGCCTGTAGGCCGCCCCGTCGCGGAGGCCGGCCCGGAAGGAAGCCTGGTGCAGCCGGCTCTCAGTCAGCCCCAGCCCAGCCCGGAACTGCCCGTCGGAGAGGGCCAGTGTTCTAACCTGGAGACCCAGGAGGCCGTCCCTGGGCCCGGCCGGGCCTGCTACCTGGAAGAGACTAGCCTGGGCCATGAGGACCCCCTGGCTGGCATGAACGCCCTGGCAGCGGCGGCAGAGCTGCCCCAGGCCCGGCCTCTGCCCTCCCTGGCCACTGGAGTTGAGGCTGTGGAGAAGCTGGACACAACTCAGAACTTGGCCTTGGAGCAGAGCTTCCTGCAAGGCATCACGCTGCTGAGTGAGATTGCAGAGCTGGAGCTGGAGAGGAGGAGCCGGGAGGCTGGAGGTCAGTGCCAGGTGTGGGGGGACTGCTGTTTGTGAAGCATTTTAATAAGATGGTTTTTTTTTTTAACGTATTTGTTCTTTAAGTTGGTTGTGGTATCCCGTACGTATAATCCTAGCTACCTGGAGGCAGAGATAAGAATGTGGTATAGGATCAGCCGAGCAAAAGGTTAGTGAGAAATTCCCCCATCTCAACAAATATGCCTGGCAGGATGCTGCACATCTGTAATCCCAACCATGCAAGCGGCAGAGATATAGGATCACAGTCCAAGACTGGTCCCAGGCTACAGTTTATTCCTATTCAATTTTTTTAATTTTTAATTTTTAATTTTTTTTATTGTGAAAACACTGTACAGAGGGGTTACAATTACATGGGCAAGGTAATGAGTACATTTCTTATCAAGCATTGTAGCCTCCTCCTTTGTTTCCCCTTCCCATCCCT